TCTAGTTGTCTGTGGCTATGTCATTGACTCTGGGCCCCACAGTCCCCAGGTCTTGCCTCAGTGTCCTCCATTTTAAAGGGTATACTATTCACCTTTGGAAGGCTACAGAGGAGGGGAGATGTAAAAGGCCTTTACAGGCCTTGGAAATAAAAGTAAGAATCAGTTCTGACTCATAGCCACCTACCCTGTAGACAGAACTGCCCCATAGATTGATTCCAAGACTGTCATGTTTATGGAGGAAGACTGCCACATCTTTCTCCTATGGATTGGGTGGTGGGTTGGAACTGCCAACCTTTTGGTTAGCAACTGAGCACTTACCCATTGTACCACCAGTACCCCACAAGTACTTGAGTTTACTGTAAAGGGGTATTTTCTAGAATTGTAGTCATCTTCAAAACTGTAGTGTTAGTGAAGCTAATGTATAATCTTCTCTATCCTTCTTAGCCTATTCTATTCAGATCTATTCACATTAACTTCCAAGGTAACAACTTTATGAATTTTCTAAGGGAAATGACAAGCAAAATTGTGTTTTTGTTTTGGTTGTTAGTATCTGTGATGGTGTACCTGCAGGGTGCCAGGAGCCACTGGAAGGGCTTTGGACACATTTATTGCTTCTGGGTAGTCCTGGACAAACCAGAGGACTCGTGTGGGCTAAAGAAGCTTGCAGCTAGTGTGATACTCTGTGCAGATTTTGCATTCTGCTCCATAATACGTTGTCTTAATATAGAAATGTTTGTTCCCACAAATATCTGCATACAGTTAACACTCTGTGTGCTTTCTAGAGCCTCTTGTACTGCTTTTCCTCCCCTCAGGGTCTGGCTTGCCCTTTTGAAAAGGACTGGGCTTCTATCCTTGCAGGTTTCCTTAGTCTGGTTTCATAACCTTGTTGTTCTAGAGGAAAGGAGATTTAGAGGTCTGAGATGAGACTTTGGAAAAGCAGGCAATTAAAATCACAGGAAAAGAGAATGACAGTGTTTCATACCATACCAGTAGAAAGTGAGAACTTCCATGACGCATTATTTACTGCTGGTACAGAGTTGGTCTTTGACATTTGTAATGATCAGAAGCATAAGGTCATTTTTGCTGATACAGTTTACTTTCTACTTAGATTCTAGGTCCCAATTCAACTGCAAACAGTATCATGGCCTCCTATCAACAACAGAAGACTTCAGTCCCTGTTCTTGGTTCGTATATATTTTTTCCTTTATAAATTATTGCAGTAATATGCAAAAAGAGTATTTTCAGTGTTGGAAAAGTCAGCAGTGTAGGGAGAGATTTGGATATTAACTATAATTTTCCCTCGACTATAAGGTGTTCCCTTTAGTAAGACATATATTTAATGCTTTCAGTAATGGAAGCAGGTTGGAAAGAAATCCAGCACAACATTAAACGTACAGTTGTTTGGAAAATTCGACTGCCAACGGCATATATTTTTCTTATACACACACACACTGGTTTAAAGTTTGAGTCTAAACAGTGTATATTTGCATAAGATTCCAGAGATTTTTTTCAAGTCATCATCTTTGACTATTGGCAGTTATACATGCATCTTGGGGACATTTTCATAATCCCTGTTTCTAATCCAGACCTTTGTATCACCCATAGGATTAATAAT